GATATAATCTAACAAATGTAATTTTCCTCTTGTACTCGTTGTTTCTTGACGTTATTAAACTCTTTTATTACTTTTTGGGATATTGCAAATTATGTGTTAGTTCGTACATTAAAATGAATATTGTAAGAAAAGCAAATCATACGAAGTCACTCGCTTTTTTACAATATAGTATTTTGTTATTCATTCGGAGCATGTTTTATGCTAACCGAGATCTAGTATATGCTAACCGAGATCTAGTTATAATCAAGTAGTAAAGCTTTCTTAATGTGATATATATTGCTTCGTACCAAATTGTGAATTATGAATCTCAGTAGAGCGTCTCGCACTTCAGGATATGTCTCGGCTCTAAGGAACAAAGTGCGTAATAGTAAGAAGAAGCCATTTTTTCCCCTTTAGTCTTGTGACATTACTTATAATGGGGAGGCAGACAAACAGAAACTGGTTTACGGTAAATAGTAAGGCTGAAATTAGATTCATTGCGGATTATGAGTATATCAAAGATGGGAAGGGAATTGTCAGATTAAGATTCGTAAGTGAACTGGATGGCTGAATCAGTCGAATTTATGGCAGATAAAATCTGAGATAAATTTTCTTTATTACCATCAAAAAGCATGTAGACGATACTCTGACAGCAGGCTGTTGTCGCCAAGACCGTATAGTGGTTAGAGGAGCCTGCTACGGTACCGAAGGGCCCGGGTTCGAATCCCGAAGAAGACATGTATATTTGTAAATGTATGTTGGCGGCATGGCGGCACTCTAAATATGCGGCTAGCCAAAAGTTCTCTCGTGTGGATTGGTGGAAGGGGAGAGGGTGGAAGACTCCGGAATCTGCCTTCGAGTGCTCTCCCTCAAAATTGGGGGTGGAAAATAGAAGTCCAACCTCTCTTCGGAGTCAACTGTGGCAACCATTGTTTCATGTAATATGAACAAGACAACAACACAAGGTTGTTTGTTGCTTAGCCACATACGCCACAAATATGCGAAAAATTAAAACAGGTATCTCAATGTAAAACTGAAATTGAGCGAAATGGCGCGAAGTTTTACCCTAATATGAAAGTCGCATTTCTTTAAACTCTGTAACATTAATAACTAAACTTCAATTACTGGCTTTTCAAAAGCTGTCTGTGTGAAGGAGGCATTCCTTGCCTTAAGTAAATAGCCGTCGTTCCCTTATAGCAACCACTTTTTAATATGGGCGGTAATTTTGTTAACATGAAGAATCACTATTACTGAATAAGCGTGATAGTCTTAGTTCTGTGAGGACCATCTGCACAGAAAACAAAAATTGCTTGGAACCGAAGCGTAATTTGTGATGGTTTCACATTAATATGTGAAGGTTGGATGGTAATTAGAAATAAAAAGATTATGCTTGAAATTAAAATGTTTATGCTTGAAATTAAAATGTTTCTCCCTTCCAAAGTCGCCGAAATTGTCTTACTCTCTATTAGTTTCCCAAATTTCTTGTCTCTCTATGCTAAAGGTGAGAGTTCCTTAAGGGGACTCATACACCTTAAAACCCGTAAGATGTTTGAATAGGTGACTGTTGCGAGAATTGGGATAACTTATTTATTTTAAAAGCAATTACTACCAACTTTTTACAGCTGGCTACATAATATAGCTGCTTTCTGAAATAGTAATCAGAAAGTTTGTGTTGCCACAAATATTTTTATAATTTAACCCGCTTTGAGACAACATTTTTCGTCATGTTTCCAACTTGCGCGCACCGTTTAAAACATTCTGTTTCATAATTTGATTCCATATTTAATATATAGCTTTTATAACATTTGGAAACTACTGTGAACCTAAAATTCTAAAATTTCATGTTAAATTTTTATTTATTTGAGTTGAGATTATAAAATGTATTTATTAAATTTTTTTTAACGTTTTCGCCCATAAAATTTTTCAATATTAAATATTCATCAGATTGTTGGTTCAGTTAGAAAATAGTGCCCATATAAAGAATTCCATAAAATTTCAAGTGTGTACCATTAGCCATTTTTAAAATATCATGCGCGCAAGGTGGAAACACGGCGAAATATTTTGTCACAAAGAGGATTAAATTACAAAAATATTGGTGGCAACACAAACTTTCTGGTTACTAGTTTCCAAAGCAGCTATATTATGTAGTCAGCTGTAAAAGGTTGGAAGTAATTGCTTTTAAAATAAATAAAATATCCAAAGTTTTGCGACAGTCACATATTCGAAGATCATGAGAGGTTTAAGGTTTATCTAGCGCTAAACCAACCGAATTCATTTGTAGATTTTTATAAAATATATATTGTTGCGTTCTACGGATTCGTGGATTTTGAGTGATTGATGTCAACACTTGATGAAGAATGAAAACACAATTTATTTAGCCAGTGTTACTCAGGACAGTCCCAGAATCACGTTTACAGTCATCGACAAACACGCTGAAACAATCAGCAACACAGCCATCAGGCCGTCAGGCTATAACGGTGAAGACAGTTTCACGGCAAAACAGCTCCCGACTCGGTCAATCGCTATCGGAGCTCAACTAAGGATAAAACTTGACGATACACTATTACTCCGCGTACAGGCAGGATTTATTTAGCTTTTGACTGGGGTAAACCGGTTCCAGAATGTTCTCTCTAGGTCTTCTATGGCATGTCGCCAATTGGGCAATTTCGCGCCAAGGCAACCCTAAACCTGCCTTGCGGGGAAACTATTTTACCGTGGCTGGGCATTTTCGTAACAATATTTTAAAACTCCCATGGTAAGAATTTGTGCTATTGTCATTGCTACTCTTCTCAACATACTTTTTAATTTACAGTTGACTTTGGATAAACGTAATTTTATCTTGCATTACTTTTTTAATTCACAGTTGACTTTGGATAAACGTAATTTTATCTTGCATTCAAATGATAAATTATGTTTCGAATGTGGGACGGAAATATCAATAAATGTCTAACCATTCTATTTCATAGGCATAAATGAACAAGAGATATGTCATTGTTGGGTCTAGGAGTTTTTTGCCTTTTACGTAAGTACGTAGGAGCTGTACATAAGAACGACAGCCGTTTTCATGCCATAACCACAGTAATTACTTAAGCGCAGAATGTTTAAATACATTATTGCAACATTTCCGTGCTGAAACTCGTCTACACCCTGTGTTCATATGTCTTTTTCGAATCCCAAAGGAAATACATACGTATTCGATAGCACAACAGAGTAAACCAACCGAATTCATTTGTAGTCATCTTCAACCAATTAAGTGAGAAAGTAAGAGTCGTAATCTCAGCTGGGGGCAATAGACTTTCCTCTTTTCATCAGTGGATGCCGGAGGTAGAACTTTATATTGTATGTTTATTTGGGTTTGGATTGTTTATGGCACTTTGTCATAAACAGTTTTGTCATCTAAAAGGCTTTTATGAAGATAACTTCCTAAGGAGCAATGTCTGGTATCCACATGAAACATAAGAAAAAACACGAAAACGCCCATGCAGCCAACCGGTTTTCCTGGAATCGAACCCAAGTCGTACTACCTGTGTTTAGCGACTTTACCGCTCGCCGTTGAGTATTTGTGTTTTAAGAAATAAAAGTTTTCTAGGAAAGTAAAATTTACGTTTATTTTTAAACATGTTGTACTTGGTGAAAGAGGATTATATATGTAAGTAAATATATATTTTTTTTTTTTTGCGGGTAGTGAATAATGTTTTACGTCATGCATCTTTTTAGTGCTATTATATGAATGCCAGCAAACTTTATAAGAGAAATAACGAGTTTTCCTTTGTCTATTAAAATATACCGACAACATGTGAATGCTTTTAACTACCCAACGTATTGCAAAAGCTTTTTCGATACTAAATGCAGTGCAAATAATAATGAAATCAGTATTTTTACATCTTTATAAATAAATAGTATGCCGTAGAGCGAGATTAAAAGAGGGACTCACTCCAATGCATGTGTAATTAATTCATTTGATAACACATGTATGTGTACTTAATTCATTTGATAATACATGCATGTGTACTTAATTCACTTGATAACACTAAGATAGCTAATACATTTAGTAGTGAGACTCTTTTGATTATTCTATACATTAATTAATAGAAGAAGAAGAAAAACTTCAGAAGTTGAGTATCTGGGATAAGAAGCAAGTATTACATACAAGTATGCTTTTGAATTTTGTGTTAGAAATATAAACAGATGCCACGTGCTTGGATTTTTATTTCGTATTGTTATTTCTCATTATTAGATCTAAGTGAAACTGAAAATCTTGAATTTATTGTTTGGAATATCATCCATATCTTTTTTGGGGTTGATTGTGCTACAATCACAGAGGCGATCATAACATTTCAGTTAAATTATAGAGGTGACCATAGAATTTCCATTTCGTGTTTATTTATTAGTTCTTCAGTATTATGTAGAAATTTATTTTTCTTCATCTTAAAGCATGTATGCATATGTAATTCCTGATATTTTTTACGCATATATATGTATATATTATGGGTCTCAAGAATGCAAACTATTTATCCGGTTGCAAGACGCATTATTTTAATCGAAAATTGTAATAGAATTAATAGTAACAGTCAATTTGAAGGATCGGCTGAGAGATTAAGACTGACAGAACTGTTATATTCTGCTTGTCACAACCTGTGCGGCTATTGAATAATTCCTTTGCAAATTGCAGTCCGCTTTTAAGCATGCATATAAATAATTATTATTTTAATTTAATACAAAAATAAATAATTTCTTATTCATTTTAATCGTAGCATACTTCTATTGACTTGGTTTAATTAAATAAAAATAGTATATTCTTAAATATGTGGAATATGTTCCCACAATGACGTTATAATATCAAATTCATTTTACGTCTATTCTTTTTACGAGGCTACTTTACTAGCACAACACCGGTGTAAAATGAGCGATAGCTGTATTTTATTTGTAGTCTTAGTTTGCATAGCTATTATAATTAATATAATTCTGATGTATCTGTTTTTGTTCATATTTGTTCTAATACCTGTCATCTCTCTTTTCAGGTATGTACAGAAATTCTATATTCTGAAAATATTTTCGTCGGAATTCCAAGAATTGGGTAACATTATGCTATGTGTTTTAAATTCGTGCCTTTAATTGGAACATATATTTTAATATCTGTTGTATAATTGTTGAAAGGTTTAACATATAGAAAACTTAGTGCACTAAAGTGAAAAAAAAAATATTTATTGAAGAATCATATATTGAATTATAGCGTGTTTCAAAAGTTTGGAAACACTTTAAAAAATTTATTGTAGCCAAACGAATTGCATTACAAAGTAACGAAGTACATAATTTTAGAGAGTAAAATAGTTTTTTTTCAACAACACTCATTTCACAAATACTGTATGTAGGAACTATGTGCTATCCTAAAACGTCGAGGCGATAATCTAACTCTAGCCACACACGGCACACAAAGTAGCTTCCAAGACTGTGGCTGTTACTTGTTCAGTTCTCCTTTTCAATTCCATAACATCACGTGGAAGAGGAAGAACATAAACAAGGACCTTTACAAAACCCCATAAAAAGAAATTACAAGGAGTGATATCCGGGGACAAAGGAGGCCATTTTAGCAGACATTGGTTTTTTGCTCCACCACGACCAATCCAACGATTAGGTAGCTCTGTGTTCTGATATGCCCTGACTACACGGTGAAAATGTGGGGCTGCACCATCTAACTGAAGGACAAATTCTCTGATTCAGTTTGCACAATGCCATTAACCAGGTCTACAACATCTGAAGGAAGGACTCACCAGTAACAGTTTGTTCTTCAAAGAAGAAAGGCCCATAAAGTTTCTTGTTAAGATATGGCACAAAAAAAATTGACTTCTGGAGAATCTCGCTTGTGTTCAACAATGTTATGCAGGCTTTCTGTTCCCCAAATTCTACAATTGTGCCTGTTTATTTACCCATTTGTATGAAATGTTGTCTCGTCCGAAAAAATTATCGAATTCACAAAAGCATTATCTTTGACCTGCAATGCACAGCAAAGCTGGAATCGCTAGTCTTTAGGATTTAACTTTTGCATTTACGCAAAACACGCCACACAGCCGTTGTTGACATTTCTAACTCATGCGAAGCTCTGCGTGTAGATTTTCTCAGACTTCTGTGGTAGCTTCTCACTCGTTTAGTGTCATTTGCATTGCCGACCATATCTCTTCTTGGTACACAAGCAGCCAGATTAGATTGCGTGTATGGTTGGTGGCTGCGTTCCCGTATTTCCTCCTACATTTCCGCTGCATATATCCGCTGCAGTCTTTGTTTTGTCAGTCAAAAGCGTTCTCATCTCCAGAAAGTGCCATATTGATTATGATCTCACCTAGCGACGATACATGGAACTACACGTCACACTTGCAATGAGAAAATAAAATTACAACTTTATTCTTTGAAATGATATACTTCATTTCTTTCCAAAACTACTCATTTTGCTACAGTAATTTTTAAAAAATATACGCGGAATTTTGAAACACGCTGTATTTGTACTACACCCGTTCAATATTATTAAAATTATTTCCTAATACTGTTTGGTTGAATATTAAGGAAATATCCATAATTAATGCGTTAAACGTTTGTAGCAGTTAAACACTGCATATAAGATATTAATAGTATTTAAAGATTGAAAAATTCCCGCATTGAGTTAAAGATCAACAGTTTTTGATGGCTAGGTTATTATTAAAATCGAAGATATTAAATTTTTGATGTTTTAAAATTGTAATCACCATGTGAAAAGGAAACATTTGCGGAATTAAAGAAATTTGTCAGCATTTATTGCTTTGACATTAAGGATGACTTAGCTAGAGGGGGAAATGAACAGTTTTGCCCCTTTCGTAATTTTAATTTTTAAATATTTTGATTGTGCGTAAAAGGCTATTTTAAATTCTTTTTTAAAAGAAGGCATGAGACATTCAAATTTTGGAATCTCATGAATCTTGCGAAAAACTTCACTGTTTCGTCGTCTTTCAAATCCTTAACCTCAAAGACTATTAAACGCTTTAACTGAAAACTTTAGCAATATTTATTTAATTGACATCCAGTTAAAGCATCCCACTTCTTCCAAAAATCAAACACGCAGTTGTTGCAATTTTAGTGGACCTGGATCACCAGTATGGAGGCCGAGAGTATCACACTCTTGAGTTTTAAAAAGGAATTTAGCATTCTCCGTTTGTGTCAACTCTGGAAATAATCTTGCTTCATCTACACTTGTTTTAAGAAGATTCTAGAATAAATTGAAAAACACTTGAACTTATCTTGTCAAAGTGTATGGAAAAGAATTAACTTTGATATTCAAAAGTTTTAATTTTGCCTTCATTTGCTAAATTTCATGTGTATTTTCTTAGATGTATTTTAACAACTGTATTAAATTTACTTTCCATCGAACACACGCAGATCTGAAATTTTGTTTTGCTTAAATTTAGGGTGAAGGGTATTTGAGTTTTAATTGTTACTCTTTCCAGAATTTTGCACGTTTTCAATAAATTTAGTGTGTAATTCATAATACATGTATACTTTCTTTTTCAAAATTAGTGAATGAAAGCAAATTGAAATTAATTAGCGTTTCTTACATAATCATTATTATATACTCAACCAAAACAACTTTGTTCAGTTCAGCAGTAAAAGAAAAAAAAAGGGGACAAGAATTTTAATGCGATAATTAGCACATATAATCAAATTCCTGCAGAACAATCTTATTAATGACGCAACTTTCACTCATTTCTGTCAGCTGGGTGTGAAACCTGATCCGAGTCAGAACCCCACCTTTTTTCTTCGATCAAGCACTGCAACTTCCATGTCAAGCACTACAACTTCTACCATATTGATCAACAACTCTTTGTAAATGTTGCATAAGCTCCAACAAAATTGCAGACAGCGATAAATTTCTATCTGTTTTCGCTAATTGTTACATTGAATGCATTGTTTACTGTTATTACATAATTGCTGGAATTGCATCTTCACTTTAGTAAAGTCATTGCTGTTTGAATATGTGCTCTACATGAACTGCAATTGTCATAAAGCAATTGACATTTCCAGTATGGTAATAATTTATAATGTAACTTGAAAGGTAATATGCTGTATTGTAAAGCATAAGTCGTTGACAATTTACATGATTAATTTTAAATTACATTTACCTGCACAAAGAGCCTGTAGTTTTTTTAATCTAACAGATTTGAGGCTTTGTAATAAATACCTTTCCTTTTCTGTCTCCATTTTTTTCACGTTACAGTATTTTCTGTTTGTTTTGAATGTTAAGGGATTTATGTGAAACTTTAATATGCGCATGGATATTCAAAATAGGCGCAACGAAGGCAAAAAACAGTGATCCTAATCAAGCAGTTTTATCTGATTTTTTTAACACAAGCTATTATTCACGTTGTACATATAAAAAAACGAGAATTGAGGAAACTGAAGCAGAAGATAATCAAAAGTTTCTCCTCTGAGGCGTATCCTTGCTATTCCTTATTCTTTTTATTGCTTATTCTGCCTAGACTTCAGTAATAGCCTTCCTTCTCTTGAGTTTTCTACAATTTTTGTAGACCTTCTGTACCATGATTAAAATCGATATGGTCCTACAATGCCGTAACCTCTTCCTGTGTTAGGAAGCGTAGTTTCGCCTTTTCGATTCTTTTCTAGTTTTGAACATGATCGGTAAAAAAGGTTTATTGATTTATTTTGGCATTTGCTAGAAAAAGGTGATGTAGTATTACAAAGCATTGTGTTTATTGTTAAAAGGAAGGCGGGGGGGGGGTCTGTGCTCATCATTTCAATGTGTAAATTTATAGCTGAGATAAATTGTTATAGAATTTATCTACGTTACACATGTTAAAATGAAAGTGTTGCTTCCAGATAACACATTACTGGAATTGTAAACATTTGTATTGAGGTGTTTAATGGAATACGAATTCAAATTCTAAAATATTTTTAAGTCTTCCAATTTTCGATCTTTCGAATACTTTTTGTGAAAATAACAGTAAGAACAGAACAAAATGGAAAAGGGCAGAGCTTCTACACGATATTAAAAGTTTTAATCAAAGCAAAATTTGAAATTTTGTTTTAATGAAAAATAAATTTAAAAAATAATCAAATTTTTATATTTATTTTCAGAACTCTAATTATAAATTTTAAAAAAGTTTTGAAAATATTGCGACATTTAAAATAGGTTAAAGCGCTGGTAGACTGTTTCCGTTAATATTGTGTTTATTTTTTTTATATTATTTTATTTATTTATTTATTTTTTGCTTGTATTTTAATTTTTTCAGACTAGAATAATTCCGTTCGATAGTAATGTTTCCGCAAAATGCGATGTGATTTTATATTTACGTGTAACAACACGCAAAAATTCAGAGCCAGAAAAGGTAACGCCCCTTTGGATGAAAAATATGTAAAAACAACATAACTTTAGAATTTCCGATAGATAGTCGCGCGCGCTGGAGATAAAAGGATTTTTTCCGTACAGTGCTCGCTTTGAAATCATTTTATTAATCAGATATTCGTTATGTTTTAAAAAAATATATAAAATAGGCAATACAACAAATTCTATATATTCCATATTCAGGCTTCCAGTGCCCATTAAAATCCAGGACCTTTCAGGTGGAAGACTGCATTTTTCAAAATTTGATGGCTCTAGGTATCGTTGTTTTTTCACTGTGCGAGAAACATTCGGATACAGATTCGTGCAGATTCTTCATTATTTAATTTCTTTGAATATAATACAAAACGATAATATTTGCTGGCAGCATTCTGAAAAGTGATTCAACACTTTTAGTGATTCGATACAAAAAAGGCCGTTACGAGACTAATATCCATTCTGGGCTAACAAAAATAAAACTTGCAAAGGTGTAAGAATGTATTTTTGTATTCAAAACGACCTGGATTCATTAGCAAAAGCCAAAAAGCAGTGTAAATCAAAAGGATTCGAATTTTCGAGATTATTCGGTAAAATTTGAAAGGAAACTTATCGTCAAAATATAGAACATGGGGGGGGGGAAGCCAGGTTTATAAAAACTTAAGTCGAGATACGAAATTGCCCACAAGCTCCCAAAATTATATACATGTCGAAATGTA